TTATTACCATACGTTCTTCTATTTTACTGGCAGAGCAAAGCCGGAGAGATGATATGGAATCCATTGGTTATGTGCTCTTGTATTTCCTGAGGGGAAGGTTGAGTATATTGTGCCACATGCTCACTTCATTTAAAGTTTTTATGCATTTCCAGATGATGTTTGGCTGTTACTTGTTAATGAATCTTCATTCTTAGTTTTCTTCCTTTTTTTTGCCATCAATTTTCTTCCCATTGATTTTGATTCAATTTGCACAATTTCTCGGCTTCAGCCTTCCTTGGCAGGGGCTAAAAACGGGTACAAGAAAACAAAAATATGATAGGATCACGGAAAAGAAGGAATCTACTCCTATAGAGGGATATATCACTTCTGACATCCTTTGACGAGTTGATTGATACAGGATTTCTAGTGCTTCCTCTGTCCTATTTTTTTTGGCATGTTTGATAAATACTTCATACATTTTTAAGCATTGAATTCTGTGATGGTAAATTTTCCCCTTTAATTGCTATTTTCACTAGTGTTCTTGAAAGGAAAAGGTTTCCAATTTGTTTGAAGAAGTTTAATATAGAAAAAGGGATATTTAATTCTTCGATTTTGGTTATAGTGAAGTGTAATTCGGTTTTTTTAACAAATGGAAAGTGTAACATAAAATTGAGAAAGCGAATACATCTATTAAGGCTAAGTTATGGCCGAATTTTATCCCAAACTAATTGTTAATCCTCTTCTCGCATTTATTATATTTCCTTGTTCAGTAATATTGGTTTATGTGTGTCTAACAGGTGCTCTGTAAGTCATATCCATCTAAGTTTGTAGCATATTTTCACTACTGCCAATCTTTGCGGTTCAAAGATAAGCCAGATTATTCATATTTGAAGAGGCTTTTCCGAGACTTGTTTATAAGAGAAGGTTAGTTATAATCATTGTGGCTTACTCAACAGTGCTCTTTCTGTATATAACAATCTGTTATCTTTCTCTTACACACACATACTGAGTGGCTGCTTTCCCCATGGATGTGGAAGTCGAACTTTGTTTTATTTTGTTTTGATTTTTTTTTTGTTCTGAAATCAGTATTGTTGCAGGTTATCAATTTGACTATATCTTTGTCTGGACTTTATTGAAGTACCCACAGATTTCTAGCAGCTCCAAAGAGCGGGTAAATACTTATAAACCTCTAGTTCTCGGCTACTGTCTTCTTGGGATATTATAACTCAGGTTTTTCATCCATTTCTCAGCAATCTGGGGGGAAAGCAGGTTTAGCTGCAAGACCAGCCGTTGAAAAACCGGAAAAACCCTCTGGTCTGCTCTCTTTAACAGTATTAGATTTCTCATTAGGATTACAACTAAATATCTGTTACTCAACTATTTTGTTCACAAGTGATCATTGTGTTTATCCAAAACTATTTGGGAAATATAAAAGATTTCCATTTATGTTATGGGTGAGCTCTCATAACTTGGATGAAGTTCTTTTTTTTTCTACTTCGGAAGAAAATGGTATTTGATGCTTTCATTAATTATGATATGATGTTATACTAATCTCGGTCCTTTCCCTTGTGGGTTATTCTCTTGAAAAATGACTTCAGGGGGAAGAGATGTTCGAGATAGACTTGGTGCGGTTGAAGCAATTCCTAAAAGACATATTTCAACTACTAGTCCTCTTCATGATTATCCTAGATACAAGACTGTTGAGGATGAATATTTGTCAAAGCATGCGGTGAGCTTCAATTCCCAATACATATTTTCATTTATAACCAAGGATCTGCAGTTAAATATTTTTGTTTTTGCCATAGGAAAGGATGATATTCATGATGAGACTAAATAAGAGTTGATACTAAGTTAAGAGTTTTTGAGACAATCACTAGAAGCTTGAGAATTAGATTGAGAAGACCCGAGGATCGAGTATATATGGAGGGTACATTTGATAAAAGAAGCACTAATGATCAAGATGTGATAACATTCGATGGTGAAGTGATACGAATATGGTATGAAATGTTAGGCCAACAAAAAGCTACATATATAAAAGATGAGTGTAGTTGAGATGTGAATTGACTTGTGATAAGACTAGGAAGGATAGAATTAGAAATGAGGATATTGGTTTACAAGTTGGGATAGCTCTTTTGGAGGATTTGTTTGAAATGGTTTGGTCTCGTAGGACGAGGATCAAGGCATGCACTTGTTAGAAATGATAACCGAGAATAGGAATGGTCGAACGAAAGATGTCCGTGTACCCAATGTAAATGTTTTTATATCGAGATTATTATAGCCGATATCAAATTCATTGAGATTAATGGTGTTACTGTTTGGTTTGGATTGGATTTTACTCTGGGATTGTGATCAAAATGATTCATTCACCTAACTGAATCTTTTCTTAGCAAAATATATTTACCCTGTCTTCAATTTGTTCATTCACATATTGCATTTTGGGGAGCTCATGTCCAACATTCTGGTTATTTATTGGATTGCAATTTCAGCATCATGATTCAGATAAAAAGCGATGTAGCACTAGGTACGGCAGCACTTCAAGAAGAGCTGTAATAGCAAGCAGGGCTAGTTCACCGGGTGAAGTCAATGACATTCCACAAAATCGACGACTACCAACAGGCAGTCGCATTCCTAACACACACCCCAACTTGCTGTTGAGGCCAAGGCAGCCCGCTTCACCGCTGGCAGAGGAAGCAATGATGATGATCTTCGAAGTTTCGAGTTCCTCGCTCTTAGGAAATGATGGGCTCAATCGTAGGCCGATTTTTTTTTTTATACATAACTTGGACTCACACTGTGTATATGGGACATATATCACGATCCACAGCAACAGCTCATGTGACTTCCGTTACCTTATTACCAATCTTTTTTCCCACCACCTTCAGGGCTTATAGTATGGCCATTGTAACATGTTCCTGACATCATCATGTATCGGAACTTAAAGAACTGCGATAAAAAGAAAATACTGTTAATCCTGAAAAATTCACAACTAGCTTGATATATTGTAGAGAGTATAATTAATTCCTATTAGATGTACTTAATAACTGAATTATTAGGCCTATCCTATTAGATATACTTAATTCCTTGATGTGCACGAACCAAAAAAATCTCAACAGTAAAAGAATTATTATTATTTTTGAGATCATGGGTAAACGAATCAACAAAAACTAATCTATTTTTTAAATGTTTTATATTTATCTCATATTAATAAAAAAAATCATAATAAAATCATCATATTTTCAAGATGAATCAAATGATTGGAGATCCAATTAATTGTTCGATACTTTATAGACACTTTCAGAAAGAGTTTAATGATGGTTTTTCACGTAACACTTTTTTTATAATATTAAAGAGTGTTCAAAGAAAAATTCTTAAGCGACGGACTTGCAATAGGTAACCAGAGGCACCCATCCAATCTCCACTTACCGGCTACAAAAGAAAACCAGATTGATTATCTAACTAAACTATTTTAGCATACGAACATTCAACATCAGATGTTTTTTTTTCTTTGATCTTCTTGTTGGGTGCTGCTGCCGTTTAATCTTCTTTCTCTCTTTCCATTATGATTGATTGTCGATCACTCGACTATCATTTTTTTCTTGTTGAACTGTGCCGTTTAAACTTCGAACTTTTTTATTTGTGGTTTTGAAGAATATATCTGTTTAATCTTTGTCCAAAAATGGAACTGCTGTAATAATCAGAAGATTTGAGATCGAAACACATGTCAAAATCTAATAAACTGTTCATCCCACTTGTCTTGTCTCGTCTCGTCTGGTGTCCAGTTTGTCGTTTAAAATCAGGAAGTCTTTTTCTCTCGTCTTTCCAATAATTCCTCTGCATCGTTCTTACATTAACTGTCTTCGTCCGACAAAGAAAAGGAAGAAAGAGAAGAAAGTTTCGATTGAGGAATGTCTGCAAATGTTTGCCCCTTTGCTTGAATCCAAGTAAGCTTTGAAATAAAATGAACAATCCAATGTAAAGATTCAATTTTTGGACGTATATCTTATTCAGAATTTGCTTTCCTTGTATTTGGAATTGAATTTGAATCCACCATTGATTATCTGATGATGATTCAAAGGAGCGATTTCTGGGTTTTCAATGTTATGTTTTGTTTCAGTTCTTTTCATCAATAGCAATCGATTCAATCATCGTTTATTCATAGTTCGATTGTGTTTGATTGGCAGTGAATGATTAGGAAACTTGTTTAGATGGTCTGTGTGCCGCAAAAAAAATAGAAAATGATGTTCTATAAAGCTGCCGGAACAGATGAGTTAGATGCATTCTATCCGATTAGAAAAAAATGTGAAGCCAATGTCCCTAAGACTCGATTTTGGCCCAGGGTGTGCATCTTTCTCATTCACCACATCTCTTACTCGAGTTTTCGATTCCGTTATGTTTGTATGTCTAGCCTTTTCTGCTAGAAAGTATACACCATTTTATTGGTTATGCACTTGCGTTGATCTATGTTTTTCAGGCAGGGAAAACTCTCAGCGCGAGACGGTGGCGTGCTGCATTCTCTGCGGATGGTCACCTCGATATGGAAAAAGTTCTTCGACGGATCCAACAAGGGGTATGCTTCTTTCCCATTCTATTTATCATTACGCTGCTTGGCTACACGCATATTTGACGTTGAGCTGTGGTTTGCATATGCTGATCTACTTATATCTGTCAAAAGTTGAACATTATTAATTATACTTGATTATTCCCGGAATAGGGTATTCACCCTTCAATCAAGGGGGTTGTTTGGGAGTTCCTGTTAGGTTTCTTTGATCCTGAGAGTAGCTTCGACGATCGGAATCAGCTTAGACAGGAAAGGAGGTGACAACTTCTTTTAGCATCTCAGAAATTTTGACTTGATATGCAGTCTGTTAATTAAGGTCATTTTGTTTCTGAAGATGCATTTAGGCATTTATCCATGTTCGAAGTAGTAATTCTATTGTGCCCTATATGTATGCGTGTGTGTGTATATATATATATATATATTCATAATTTTAATCTTTTCTTTCCTTTGTCATCTGTGTTTTGATTTTCTGAATTCGGACATTGTGACAATTAACCACACTAAGCATCACAGGGAGCGTTACGAAACGTGGAAGACTGAATGCCAAACTATGGTGCCCGTCATCGGGAGTGGAAAGTTCATTACAACACCAATTATCACCGATGATGGCCAACCGGTAGAACTTGAAGGTGAACCCGTGATCAGTTCTGTTCCAGACAAGAAAGTTGCTCAGTGGATGTATTTCTTGCATCAAATCGGTTGTATGGTGTACCATTTCATGCTCAGCTAATTCAATTTTCCATATCTTATGTTGATTCCTGAGTTACCGTTCAGCCTCTTTTGTACATTTTATTACTTTATTACCGCAATAAGTTGGTAGATATCCGATGAGGCTTTAGGTCAACAGTGCATTGCAGGTTTGGATGTCATTCGAACCGATTCATCACTTGCCTTTTACGAGTCCGAAACTAATCAGGCAAAACTTAGGGATATTCTCGCTGTATATTCATGGATGGATGATGATATCGGTTATGTGCAGGGTGAGTTGTTTCCATCAGTAGTATTATTCGTTAACAAGCTGAAGTTCGTTGTTCTCCGACAATCTTTGACGTATTCTTTTCCAAGCAGGAATGAATGACATATGCTCTCCAATGGTAATTCTTTTTGAAAATGAAGCAGATGCATTTTGGTGTTTCGAGCGTGCAATGCGAAGACTGGTATACTTTTATTTCATGCAGCTCTGTTGCTTAGATATTCGATTTCGATGCTATATATTCATGAAACGATTTTTAAGAGAGAAGGTTCTTTAAAATGTCTTTTAACAATTTGGTATACGGTGATGCTTATGGTACGCAATACATAGAGGGTAAGATTCATGTAAACTTTGGTTTCCATGCTTGTTTATATCTCTAATGTGTTGTTTGTAACAGAGGGATAACTTTAGATGCGAAACAACTTCAATGGGGGTGCAATCCCAGCTCATTACACTTTCACAAGTAATTAAAACCGTCGATCCGAAGCTTCATCAACACCTTGGTACGCATTCCTTTGCCCGGTTATTTAATTTTTATGCGATTTCCATAGTCTTAATGCTCGTCCGAAGCCTCATGGACATCGATAGTGTACCAGAAACACCACATTTGCCATCTTCATAGTCTTATATTTTTATCTTGTTCAACTAAAATCTCATTGAGTTAACAGAGGAGCTCGTTGGTGGGGAGTATTTATTTGCATTTTGAATGCTGATGGTACTTTCCCGAAGGGAGTTCTCCTTCGTTGATTCGTTGTATCTTCAGGAGGTGATTAATTTGTGTTTTTCAATTGCTATCTGGGCAAATGCCATTGTTGTATTAGTTCGGTTCGGGTTTGAGTCTCTTTATGTTCATTCTAACACATAGATTGACATCGACTCCAGGGGTAATCTGGGCAATGGAGTATAACCCTCATATTTTCTTGACGTATGAGACGGCAGATTCATCCTCCGATACCAACACTGCAGTAACATCAGATCAGAGGGTGCGGGAAGTTAGAAAGAAAAAACATGCAGAACGGATGGTCGGATAAGAACGGTGCGCTCTCGATTTTCCTAATCGCGAGCGTTCTCGAGACCAAGAATAAACAGATTCTAAAGGAAGCCAAGGGTATCGACGACGTTGTCAGCGTACTCTCTCGTTCTCTCCTCCCCGTGTACCTAAAATCCCATACACTAATCCATCATGTCTATGATTGTGAACGTCGTTTTTTTCGGATAATGGGAGATATTGTTGGAAACTTGGATGCCAAGAAAGCACGAGAAAACGCATTGAAGATTCAAAACAAGCACTTGAAAAAGGTACACATTGAAGAAATCATGGGAAATAAACAGCCTCTTTTCATATCAAAATAGTTCTTTAAATGGATGGAGTAATTGCATTCATATTGGGTTTATTACGTGCAGGCCAAGAAACCATAGTTGCAGATCATCAAACATATCAAGATCTGTAACTTAAACTTTTACAGACATTTATTAGGAGATTTTTCTATTTTCTTTTATTTTTTTTTCAAAAAAATGAAGTTTATTTGTTCATATATATTCATTTTTGAGAACTTGAAATTCCTTTATGTATAAAAGGGAATTTACCCGTATGTTTTTGGAATCTAACATGTTTGATTAAATCAAGGGATTTATACTATTAAACTTGAATTTCATGTTATATAATAAATTAACAGTATCAACGTTCAATAAATTATATATAATAAATTAATAAAAAAAATCGATCGCACAAAATTATGTATTTAATTGAACTCGATTCTTAAATTTTGTAAAGTGCAAGGATAAAATTTGACAAAATTAAATTAAAGGATCAATTTCTTACTTTTCTTAAATTTAAGGATGAAATCCATAATTAGAGCTTAAATGTAATTTTATTTCTAAAATAGACAGGAGGGGCCTGACCCCCGATTTTATGGGTTAATTGCTTTTTAGGTGCCGGCTTAATTGAATAAAGATCTGTAAATTCTCTGGTTTAATTCTTTTTAGGTGCCATCCGTTTTGCAATTAACCAATTTAACCTTAACTAATTTTTTTTAAATAAGTACTAGGTCTCTATAATTTTTAAATTGGACAAATTAAGCTTTCGCGATCTTTTTGCTTAAATACTTCTTTAATTTGTCACAATAGCCAAACTAATATAACTTTTTAATTTAATTTTTTTTAAATTCACAAAAAAAAATTATATTCCTGGTCGTAGACAAATTTATTTATGAGAAAATAATAATAATAATAATTTAAACTGGCAAACTAAAATAGAAGGATTGGTTAAAACCTTCCTAAATTTAAAGAATTTTATTCAATGGTAGTGGTAGTTGAAAAAGACTAGCCAACCTAACACCACTGAATTAACTAACGCAAGTTCTGCTTTACAGCAGATTTTGCTTCCCGATTTCTTACCCTTTTCTTCCCACCACCAATCCTACTGAAAAACATTTTCCTAGGCAGAAAAAATGTTCCAATTCTAGGAGAAAATCAATGTTTGGATACTAATAAAATCTGGGTTTTCTCTCTCTGTCTGGGGTTCCATATTCAGATTTGAAGCTAATCAAAGGCAACAAAAGAGGCTGCTAAAAGGCCTTAAATACGTTTCTCATATATTTGGTACGCTGCTGCAGATTCTCTTATACATTTATCAAAATTAGATGTACTGGTCTGTTTAACAATGGAAAATTTTATGTTGCAGAAAATGAAGATGAAGAGCCTGAAATGCAGATTGGTTTGCCAACATTGGGTGGGATGGTTCGTCTGTAAATTCTTCTAATGCACCCAGCTGGGTAATAATATACGACTGTCTTACTAAATGTTTTCATTTTACTAAATGTGAAAGGGGAACAACATGATTCATATAAATGCAAAAGAACGGGATTAAATCACCAGAACCTCTGGCTAATGGAGAAGAAAGAGAGGAGGAACCTTCCAAATTTGTCTCCCAAGGTACAACATTTGCTGGTTTCGAGTTTATTCCACTAAAGGTCTGTTTTTTATTTTATATTTTATCCGTTTTCTAATGTTTGATTGACAGAAAATAAATTAATCAATATAATTCCTTTTACTAGTCGACATAATTCCTTTTGTATTTTCTGAAAAATAAATTAATCAGAGCTTCCTAAATCATCAAGGCAAAGTTTATCTGCAAATGCAAATGAGGAATGCACAAAGGAAAAACGAGATAAGACCAAGTCATCTTCAAACAACTCTTCTTCAGATACTACTAGGAAGCCTAGAAAAGTGAACCAAGCTACGGTGTCGAACTTGACGTCGGAAGATGTCCCAAAGAAAAATGTTCGTCGGAAAAGGTTGAAGGACACCGCTGCCGGTAACGAGACCTCGAAGCAGAACCAGACGACCCACAAACTGATTCTGAGTCTGAGTTAGGGCCCAAGTCCAGAGTTCGAGATGAACAGCAAGTTAGTGATGCACGACAAGGTACCACCATGGAGGCTTAATGTTGGTAAATATTGTTAGCTAACTAGCGATCAGTTGGATTATTTTTTCGACCTTTGGGAAACCTTGTATATAGTAACATACATAATAATTGGACAATCATATTAAGATGATATCAAATATATTTAAAAACATATAAAATAGGTAATCGAGTTCTTAAGGATGGGATCAAACACATTCAAATGTTCTGATATTTATTGCATTATCCATTCAGATCATACACTAACAACATTTACATGCATGAATGCATGCATCTCTCGTGCATACATTTGTACTTAAAAAAGGAAGAAGAGAACTAAAAGAACTAAACTATTGAACTGAGGCTGTGTACTCCACAGAGAACTTCTCCAGTTGGACGGAGGAAAAAAAAAAGGATAAAATACTTTTTAAAAATAAAAAAAGGAGAAAAAACGGTGGCCAATGAGGTGTCTCCACGTGTGAGAAAACAACCTCACATCTGTAAGAATCGAGCGAGCTGGCTCGGGTTGAAGATGCCCGGTATGTGGGCTCCATCTGACTTCATCAAGCTAGCCACTTCAACGTACCTTTGGCGCATCTCATCCCTCGGCTCCGGCTTCGGTTCGGCGTCGCCGGCTCTGGATCTCTCGTTTAGATCCACGTCTTCTCCGATTCCCCTCTTGGCTTCGGCGGCCGTTTGTTGCGGTCGATCTGGGTCCCACGTTTGGCCGAACAGCGTCCCCCGGGTGAGGTACTCGTGGGCCAGGTATCCAGCCAGGAGCTGGTTGGAGAGGACCGGCTGAGCGGCTTTTTCGGAGCCGGCTAACGGGACAGCCAGCTTAGGTAACTTTGTAAGTGGGGGGTTTAACCGTTTGAGGTTGAAATCATCTCTCTCTTTGCGCTTGTTGGTGGGCATGGAAACCCGACGGGGCGGTAAACGCATCGTTTTGGTGTTCATTATTCGCCTTTTATAGTACATGCCACGTCATAAAAAATCTATTTTAAATAAAGGACGGAATATTATATATTTAAAAATAAAGCTCTTTTTTAAAAAAATATTTAAGGAAAAAAAGATTATCTGGGTAAATAATGAACGGGAAAAATGGAGAAGAGTTAAATAAAAAAAGGAAAATCGTGCAGGAGAAAAAGTAAATATTTGAAAAACAATTTTTTCCAAAACAAAAATAAAAAGTAAAATATTTTAGGGAAAAAGTTAAAAAAAATGACAGTGGCCGGAATCTGGCTTTAAGAACAAAAGCAAAGAAGAAAAGAAAGGAAGAGTGAATGAGAGAATTTCTTTAAAAGAGAGAAATTAAAAGAGCTGATAGAAAAGAGAGAAAGGTATCGTCGTATGTTTTTATAGGAACGGGGATGAGAATTAGCCCTTAGGATTAACGAAATTACAATATTGCCATCAAGAAACAAAATTACGAGAATATCCTCCAATCGTATCTCATGACTTGTTTATGTTGTTATCCTTATATTTTTATATTATAAATAGCTTGTTTTAGAAATTTAATATAATAACCGGATTTTTATATAAAAGAAAAAATATTTTTTTTTGGATAAACATACATATAACCTAATTTAAGAATAAATAATTTAAGAGGTTTTTTTATAATCAAACCTCGTGTAAAAGGGGAATTGAGGACACAATTGAAGAGTGTAAAGATGGAAGATTCTTGTTTAGCTACATAGGATAGGATTGATGGGCATTTACATTTTTAATGTTGTAAATAATTTTAAATTTTATTCCGCTTTCCTGTAATAATATTTATAAATATTTTTTATTAAATAATATTATATTATATTTTAAGATAAATGTTAAGATTCAAATTCATATAAAATAAGATAATATAAATATCTTTTATTCACGTAATCATTTAATAAATCTCATATTTATGAATATTTTGTTACTAAATAATAATAAATTACAATTCAGAAACTACAATTTGATTTGGCCTTTTATGTTTCATTACAACAAAAACACTTGAATCATAATTCCATCTCAACTTCTTTCTCAATGCAATTCTCTGATATATATATTCATTTTTAAATAAACAAGATATATTTACTAATTCGAATCTTAAATTTAATATCAATAGATTTTACATTTATAAAAATTATTTACTAATTTTATCATTTAGATATAAGTATGACATCCAAAGGTGTGAGGGTAGATAGAAAATTAGGGGTGTTTACGGATTAATTGTGTTACTTAATTTAAATATTTAATTCATTATTATAACGGTTGTTAATTTTGTTAACTGTAATTTAACCGTTAAAAACATCAATTGTTGATAATTAATTATCATTAATAGTTCAGTTATAAGTTAATCTGTAATCTATTATATATATTTTATTTCACATGTTCATTGCTTTTAAGCATAATAAAACTATCTTTTAAAAAATATTATATTAAATTTTTCGTGAATAAATATTTAAATATAGATGTTTCGAACACAAAATAAAACTTACGATTGCGAATGGAGCAAATTGGGATGAGATGGTTGTCATTGCCTCTGTAGTACCCGATCCGGATTAAACGACTAATAAAACGGATACCGACGATTATAAAGCGATGAGGTGGGTTTGGGGTCCGATTGCTTATTGGGTGAAGATGACAAATTGCTGGAGATTGATCTCTCCGTCATTGGATACTGTTGGGTGGTTCGGTGCTGATGTAGCCGATGGTAGCTGGTTGGTGAAGGTGACTCATGCTGGTCGAGGAAGAAACAAAAAATGGAGTAGAAGAGGGATTAAATTGGGTAACATTCAAAAGTTAAAAGTAAATTTTAGAATTATCATCAATCTAAAATAAGGTATAAAAGTTGAGAAATAAATTTGTTGTTAGGTTAGTTTTATTAAATTTTCACGTTATCTGTTGATTATTTTATAATTCTTCATAGTTGAATGACTTCAAAAATAAATTATCTATAACTAAGGACTATTTTCATAATTTGTCCAAAAATAAAAATTTGGGTGCAAAACTTGATTTTTGTTGCTAAAATGTCTTAACTGGATAATTATTGTGGAGAGATAAATAATACATTTTTCATTTAATTAAAGGTATAAGAGAGATGAAATTGAACTAATAAATTTTTAAAGGAACCAGAAATTTAATTTCTACAATTAATCTAAATTTGCCCCTGATTTACGTGTTGGCTTAGTATATGTACCCATCCCTATTTTTAATTTTTTTTATATTTTAATAATATAAAATATTTACTAAATTTAGTGTTAAATTAATTAAAATTTAGTACTTATTAATAAAATTATATTTATTATTTTAAAATACTTTTAACAGAATTATAAATAGTGATTATTGAATACACACGTCTTATAAAATAAGTTGAATATTATACTTTAAAATGATAATGTTGAAAATTTTTCATTAATAAAATTCATGTATAAATAAATTTTAATCTATTAATATATGAACGAAAACATCTAATATTGAACTTTACAAACTTAATAACACACCCTTTTACTTTATTCTATTTTATATATTCATAAATATAAATACAAACAAACAAATTTAAACATATACTCATATTTTTTAAAAGAATTATTTATTAATTTCTGAATGCGTCATTAATTTTTTTAAAAGAGGTGTATTAATTTATAAAACACTATTATTAATGAAAGAGATATATTCATAATACTTTTCAAAACGACGTCATAGCAAGATATTATAATCTTTATTCTAAATCACGCATTTAGTTGGCACTAAATGATAGGAAAAGGACAAAGCACGCCTTCCTGTTCCACGTGTTATATAAAAGATTAACACAGATTTTTGTTAACTATTTAGAATATATAATATTAATGAATTCGTACCAAAAAAATTAGACTAAAAAATAATATTATTTTTTAGAGAAAATAATCTCAGTGACAGAAAATGCCTTATAATATACGATTTTGATCAACTTTTTTTTTATTTACCAAAATGACCAACAAAATCGCAATGCGATCTCTAAATCGTAACGTGATATCCAGTATCGCAAATCAGTTTCCAGATTCGCAACGCGATTTTGACTATCACATTGCGATTTTAGAAAATCGCAACGCAATGCGATTTTTCAAATTTACGATAGTCCAAATTCGTTGCGATTTCTTAAGAATTTTCTCTAAAAAGATAGTATCCGCGCGGACGTGTCGAAGACACGTATTACCACGACCACGACCCGACCCGACCCGAGACGGGACGATGACGGCGGCGGTGCGCGAGAGTCCCCCTTGTTATCTTCCACTCAACAAGGAAGTGGGAAATCCAAGCCTTAAATACTCATTCCCAATTGTGTTTCCAATACTATGTGGGATTGAGCATTGCAAACAGAGAATTTTTTACACTATTGCAACACATTCTTTATTGTTTCAAACTAAGATCTTACAAATAGCTTGGGAATCTTTTACACTATCGCAACACATTCTTTATTGTTTCAAACTCCATGTGAATTTGGAATAGTTAAAATGTAAACTTATTTTGGATTTTTCACTATCGCAACACTTTTTCACTATCGCAACAACACGTTTTTCAAACTCTCGCAACACATTTTAACTATCGTAACACATTTTTCAAAATCGCGTTGCGAATCTTACAATCGCGTTGCGAATCTGGATATTCACGTTGCGAATTTGGAAACTGAGTTGAAAAATTAGAGTTCGCGTTGCGATTTTGTTGGTCATTTTCGCAAATAAAAAAAAAGTTAGTTAAAATCGTATATTATAAGGTATTTTCGGTCACTGAAGTTATTTATTTTTTTATTCTTTTTATAATTTAAAACTGAAGTTTTAAAATACAAAATAAAATGATGGGACAGTTGGAGCTTTTTATGAAACGGCGACATTTAAGTTTTGAATATTTAAATTGTACATTTTATTTTCTAAATATCAAATGAAAATAAATATTGTAGTTCATTTATCAAATTAACAGAATAAAATTATAGTTTTTGTACCTCAGCAGGCAGCAGAATTAAATTAAATCTCGATGAGGTTAAATATAAATACATTTTTTATTTATGCAAAAAATATAAAATTAAGGTTCATAACAAAAACATTATTTTTTATTAATACATGATAGTTATAAAATAATATTTATTTAAAAATAAATTTTAACAATTTGATATTGAACGCTCATATATTTAATATGCTTAAACTTAGAACCTAAAAGAAGAATAATAATTCTTCCACCATCGTAGCTTCATTCGTGCATACATATACGCTAAAGTATTCAATCATTGTACTATGCAATATCTATTTGAAACTCCTCTCAATAATGATGATGTTCTTACACATACCGCGAAACTATAAACTTACACATGAAAAGACAATCCAAACGTTGGGCTTTATAAAGTTCAATGATGCACGGCTACTCTGTTATATCAATTGAAATAGACAAATTCAAGTAGACAAATAATGTCAACAGCCAACATGCAAATCTAACCTCACTAGACCCGCAAACTAACAAAACGAATACGAACGAATGAAAATATATTTATGTACGTTCGTTTAACTTTAATCGAATAAATACAGACAATTAAATGAACATAATTTTTTGTTTATGTTCGTTCGTTATGGAATGTTACTTGTTTGTTTTCGATCATGCTCATTCGTTAAAATGATAAATGAACGTAAACAAATATAAACTAATGTAAACGTACATGAAATTAAACGATCTAAAGTATTTTTTTTCAATCTATTCGTGAAATGACAGGAAATATATATTTGAATAAATTTATACGAACATTAACAACAAACGAATTATCGAACTTTCACAAACATAAATAAACTTTTCGTCAAACAACTCACTAAATGTTCAGTTCGTCACTAACTTTATATGCATGTGTTCATTAACGTACTTAAGACGTTGTCATTTACCCTTACAAAAATCAAAAAAACACATGATAATAATCTGCTCGTTTATTTCACCGTAAATATATCCAATAATAATTCATATATTCTATCTCATAATAATACGCTGGCAGCAAAAAGAGCTAATGGTAGGTATGGTTTATACTTGCTACATG